GAATACAACGGCTATAAACGACTATAATTTTCATTATATATACTAAAGCCTCTAATGTAAATAAGTTACAAAAAAACCTGAAAATATTCTTTGATCTATAATTACTCACATTTATTCTCAGAAATTATACACTGAGCCTTATAGCTTTATGTCCATCTTTCCTGTGTGAGGTTTACAGAAAAATCAAAACTTCATTTTATATATCTATCTTTGAGAGATATTTATTATAAGCTTTCTTTTAAAGCAAAAATATCATTTCATTTTGTAAAAGGGTTGCAAACACTGTGTTCTTAAAATCTTGAGAGTGATTGTGAATCACCTAAAATTTGCAAGGGTTTAGGCTTGTGAAGTATGTGTAAAATCCGTGGAGGATTGCTCCATTTGTAAAGAGGTTGCTAGCACCCTTGTGAAGTTAGAAGATAGTAGAAAATCTCAAGTGAAGTTTGAGGAGTGGATGTAGGCCGAGTTGAAACCGAACCGCTATAAATTTGTTTGTCTCTCTTTCTTATCTCTTTATTTTATTTTAAATTGCCATAACTATATTTCACATTTTTACTGTGCTAAAATCATTAACTAACATAGTTGTTAAGACACTTCTTTTAATTATTTTTATTTTATTAATTATATTTATCTATTGTGCTCGTCATAATTTTTATTAGGGTATTATTAATTTTAATTGTAAAAACATAATTCACCCCCCTCTTAGGTTGTCTTTTGGGTAACAGTTTTCCACATAGGGTGAGCTAAAACCTAGTAGAGATACTTTAACACAATGTATGGAACTTAACAAAGTTATAACGTGAATGCACATGGCCATTTGTCAAATATTATACTTTTCCATCTCAAAATAATGCAATGCCTTTATCAATATATTTCAATTCATGAAAATATACCTTTATGTCAGAAAATAGGACAGTGGATACAAAACATTGAGAATCTCTAGGTACGTGTCTGCCAATAGGCTATACAAGCACTACCAAAACCATTTTACCAGTACTAATCGAAAGGATTACCACCTAACCGCGCAAGTTTCTAGACTTTCACCATGGACACGCAAGCCAACATAATAACCACAATTATAACCCCTAACTAGATTCACCAAGGTATACACCCATTTTTCTAAAAAACAATACATTTTCAATTTTCAAGTATGAAGCAATTCTCGATGCAAGATGTATGAGAAATTATTTTCAATTTAACCTAATTCTCATGCAATTTCTATAACAATCAAAGTTATCCTCCACCAATAGTCTAAAATAGATATTTATACTCAACAAATAATTTTTCCAACAATAGATAAAATCTCAAAATTTCAAAATGGGAGTCGTAATAAATATCAAACTCCACTCTCATCATCAGCAGATACCCTTTTTTATATCCTTTCAAAATCCAACATTATTTCATTTTCCTTCATAAACCAACATCAATGATTTATCAACAAATCCTTCTTTATTTTCAAAATCACATTTGAAAGGGAAGTTTCCAACACAATCCAACAATATATACACATCCACAGTCCTTTTCAAAAATTTATTTGAAAAATCCCTCTTTTACTTTTCAACACCAAACCCTAGGTTTAACTCAAAACCCCCAAATCACCCAACACTTTACTAAAAGCAAATAACTAAGCTAAGAAACATACAAGAGATTGAAGAAATGTCTACCTTAAGAGTAGAAGAGGAAAAGAGCAAGAGTGAAACCTTGACGGAGTCGAAAATGAGATCCTCTCCGATTAGAATAAAACTTTCTACGAGCTCTACATTTTTCTCCAAGGAGCAATGGGGGAGAAATAAACGGATGATGAAGTATTTGAGGTTTTAAGCAAAAACTAGAGAGAGAGTAAATAAATTAGGGTTTAAGAGGTTTTAGAGAGAGAGAGGAAATGAAAAAAAATGATTCAAAAACCCTTTTCCCGAACTGATATATGTGCAGACTGCTCAAGCGACTGAAACACTGCTCGAGTGTCAAACACAATAAGTGATACCGCTCGAGTGACCAAAACACTGCTTGAGCTCATGATGACTCATTTCCAGAAGTTTTGCAGACATAAGAAGTCCGCTTGAGCGCAAGAAAGATTGCTCGAGTGAAGATCACCCTACTTCCAGAAGTTTTGCAGATCTGTAAAATACTGAAAGATCTTAAAACCGCTCGAGCGACCAAAACACCGCTCAAGTGAACAAGCAGAAAACAGAACAACAACTCTTTTGAAAAACTAACTCTCACCATGTATCAAATGACCAACAACTCAACTCAACTACTAATAAGATGACAAAGAATATGAACAACAATGAAAAGTACATAATCCTGGATCTAAGAGCATGAAATGGGTCGAGTCTAAACCGGAACCGTTATAACTTCTTTCAACAACCACCTTCAACCACTACGTCCTACAGTTGACAACAACCTTCAGCCATGAATATCCATCGCCTATTAGTGGTATCCACCTTCAATCACCACCTCTTGTCAAAAACCAACTTTAGTGCCATCTCTTACCAAAAACTAACTTAGGTCATCTCCTTCAACTATTCACCTCCATCTCCAACCATCAAAGAGGTGGTTCAAAGAGCAATTTAGTACAAGAAAGATCAAAGACAGAAAATTCGGTAGAGAGAGAGATAGAAATGGGTTGTTTAAAGGGATGAGTGCTTTGTTTGTGAGATAGAGAGAAGATGCTAATGATGAGTTGGCTCACTATGATAGCTTAAGATAGGGATACAATTGCCATTTTAGAAATTCAATTGTTGACTTCGACAAATTCTGTTAATTGAACTAACGATTGAGTAACCAAAGGGATAACTTGAAATGTGATTGCAAACCTCAATGAAGGATTCTATCCTCCATCCTTCTTCGCTCTTTGTAACCATCATCATCCTATCTTCTCTCTGTTGCCTCTATTATCTCATCCTTACCTTCGTAGCCCCCTCCACTGCCACTCTTAGCCCTCTTTCTTCTTCTTTCTTTCATCATCTTCTTCAAATTCTAGATCTGGAAAAACTCTCTCTCTCTCTCTCTCTCTCTACGTCTGTGTGTGTGTGCAAGATTATAAGGGTGAAGGCTACGATAGTGGTAGATATAAGGACAAAAAGTGGTGGGACAACGTGATTAGGGAGCTATGACAGTGGCTAGAGAGGAAGGGTTTCAATGGTAGGGGATAGAGGATTGGAGGTCACTCTAGTAGAGTGGCGCTAGACGTTGGTGGTGGTAGAGGAGGAAAGGGCTTCATAGTATCACTTGACACTGCCATCATCACCATGACGATGGTGGTGACTAGTGGTGTGTAGAAGTGTATAGTAAAAGATCAAGTCTTAAAATATTGTCCAAAGGAAATAATTTAGTTGAAGGACACAAATGTAATTTAAAATTTAAAAAAACAAAACAAAACAAAAAGATGGTGTGAGAATAGTTGGGTGCAAATAAAGCAGTCCACAAAATAGATGGGGTGAGTGAGATTGTAACCACGCGCTTAAGAAGAAGGAATGCCTAAGACCATTATGCCAGTCCTCACAATGCTGTGGCCAAGCTGTGGGATTATATAATATAATAATAATAAAAATAGACATGTGAATAATATATTATTAAGGTCTACGGTCTGACGTAGACTTTGTATCCGCACCAATGTTGCTCCTTCCTATCCTACTCAATGCACTCTCATTCGCTCATCACTTCAATTTATTGAAATAAAAATATTTATGAGTTCTAATCAAACACTTCTAATTCATCATTAATGATGTAAAATAAACTTCAGACATATATTAGAAAATATAACACCTTTGGGTGGACATGAGCTTGGGATTGGACTAATAGTCCAATAAAATTATTAATCCGATGTTTGGTTAAACAATTGAAGTACGAACTAATTATTTTAAACTTGACTATTAGTTAAGATAGGATACATAATCCAATGGATTCGTAATCCTAGGACTATTAGTCATGGGAATGCTAATCCAGTCCCCCCAAACAAACATGGCCTTAGTAAACTGACACTAACACAATTAATTAATTAATTAAATACAAGGTTAATATATATATATATATTACATGAAATTGAGAGAGAGTGAGAGAGAGATTGATTTACGATAGGAGATAACTGGACAATACCCAAACAAGTGGATGACTTAAGCCTGCAGGCCCAGATCCCCTTTCACTACAAGCCCTCTAATTTGAAGCTCCATATTTAAATAAGCATGATGTAGAAAAGTTGTAGATCTCTTGAAAACAACAAAATGGATACATGGGTGAGCAATTTAAATACTTACACACAGGACTAGGGCACCAGCTTGACTGAGTTTTCATTTTATGTTTTATATTCTCGTTTTCTCAAAAAACACAACTGTGATTGGTACCCCCAGTTTTCTCCACCCCCACCACCCCCATACACACGTGAGACTTGATTATTGGACTTGATTATTGGAAGAAGAAAAAAAAAAAAAAAAAATTGGGGCTAAAAAAAAATTGTGGCTAATCAAACCCCACTGGGATCCTGGGGGTCACCCCCAGTGGGGGTCTGAAACATTGTGCAAAACCCAATTTGCTTGGCAAAATGTTTCCAAAAAACTGTTTTTTAACAAATTTTCTGAAAGCAACTCACTTATTAAGTAACACCAAAAAGCAGTTTTCATTTCGAAAAATATTTTTGCACAAAAATCAAAACATGAAAATTATGGCTTTTCTATTTTATTTTTATTTTTATTTTTTTAAACTTTCATGTTTTGTTTTCCAAAAACACGAAAAAAGTGAAAACATAACCAAACAGTAAATCTGACATACAGATTCCTATTTTACATGCTCAAGTCTGACAATGGTAACTCAAGGAAGAATTATGCAAAAACAAGCAAATTGTAGTGTGATTGAAATAACTATTGATCACCTTCTTCGAAAGAATGAACAGCTATAAGCCACAAAAGGGCCAGTCCTAAGAGGCATATATGGCTTGAACTTCAATCGATAACTATAGAAAAAGAAAAGAGATTCTGAAGAAATATAGAAAAGGAAAGAGGTGATTATATAAATACAGTGACTATAATAATAGATTTAGCATAAAGGAATATAGAAAGAACAAAGGTGACTATACATACGATCAGAAATTACAGACACAGATTCTAAAGAACACTAACATCTCTTTAATCCTAATGGCACCAGAAAGCAACCATTAATGTTGTGAAAACAACTATTTACATAATATGCAGTTTGGAGGAAGCAAAACAAGACTTCCAAATTTTCAAATCTCCTCCAAAAAACAAATTTGAACCATAATTGATTCAATTGACATAGTCTAGCTGAGTACCTTTTTGTAACTCATGATTAATCTGTCTTTTAAGTTTTCTGCAGATTCCATCCAAACCCAACTAATAGTGATAACTGCCCCGACTGTAATTTCAAAAGGTGTTTTCTGTACGGTATAAGTATGTTCTTGAGACCTGCAATTTAGACATACATAAAAAAGACGAAGCAAAACAACAATTTCATGAACAAGAAAGAACAAAGAATCCATAGCCAACACACACCCCAAAAAAAAAAAAGAAGAAAAAGAAGAAAGGAGAAAACACTAATGCATTAATTGCAATTTAATTCAAAGAACCCTGAAAAACAATGACAGAATGCTATAAGTACCTGAAATGCACATTGTCTTGTAAAGATAAGCAACATGAGCATTCCCTTTTGTAATCATGTGAGGCCTTTCCAAGCACTCAAGAAATGCTAGGTCTGCCTTCAAAAGCTCGGCCTGATCATGAGTGTCATAACCAATGTCATGGCAGTAGCAGCAAAAGTCCAACCAATCAATTGGGCGCTTGTCCCATAGAAGAGACCCTCCATCTTTACCACTTGACCAATTGGGTCCACAGTAATGCCCGTATCGAGGGAACAACTGAGAAAGAAATCCCCTCGCGCCTGTATGCCATGGAACCTTCGAAACGTATGGTCTGAAGCGTATATTGGAATACCCAACGCTAGAGTCAATAACACGACTAGGTCGTGCACGCTTTTTCAATTCCTTGTTAACAACAGATGGCACTTGAATTTTGTCACCAGCATTGATAAACGAAGGAACAAATGCAAGAAGAGACCAACCCCACAACTTGATATTGAAATGAGCTCTTTGTTTAGGTGTTTCCAGAAGTGCAGTTGTGGACATAAAGTTTGTCCCCATGTCTCTGTTTGCATGGGTCCTAAACCAGGGGATATTACTCAGAAACCCAAAATTCATTGTTGATAACACAAGATCCCTCCGATACACACGCTTTGACCAGAAAACATTACTGATTAAGTTGACCTATCACTGTAATCACACATTAATCATGTAGTTGTATCAGGAACAACCACCAATTTCAAAGGATAAGCAGAAATAGGATGTCCTTCGATTAAAACAGGCTCAAGGATTTTTATTTTATTTTATTTTTTTTCCTTTTTTGACGCATCTAGCGCAATACTTTCACAATTTTGTCACCAGTCCACAAAATACCAATACACCCATAACCCATTTTCCCGCCCATTTAAATTAAAAAAACAAATCCTCACAACAGCAATAGAAAAATCAAAGAAGCCAATATTAATATATTAATATAGAAAAAAAAAGACGAAGGAATATTTCATTCATGTACTGCTACGAAAAAGTTGCCTAAGGTGGTTGCTCATAAATATAGAAATCATAACAGATGAAAATAATCATAAAATTCAATTGTTCAAATCCAAAATAATGACACCCAGGTCTAATAAAATAAACTATCCAAGAAATCGGGGAAATTAAGACTGAATGGGGTTCAAATTAAGGGATATATTCTCATAAAAAATAATAATAATATTTTATAGTCCATTTGAGTCTTTTTCTATTTTTAAAAAAATAAAAAATAAAAAAATTTAAGAGTATAACCGTGAATTAACATCTCCACAACAGAAGCTGATAATCAGAAGCAAGGGGTGAGCAGCTTCTCAGAATCAGCTTTTTTGACTTAAAATAAGTTATTAGAATCAGAAACTGTTTAAAATAAGTTTAACCAAACATTCCAAAATAACTTTTTAAAAGCCAGAAGCCATAAGTTGGCTCAAAAATGCCCTACCAAACACCCCCAATATATTAATATAGAAAAAAAAGACGAAGGAATATTTCATTCATGTACTGCTACGAAAAAGTTGCCTAAGGTGGTTGCTAATAAATATGGAAATCATAACAGATGAAAATAATCATAAAATTCACTTGTTCAAATCCAAAATAATGACACCCAGGTCTAATAAAATAAACTATCCAAGAAATCGGGGAAATTAAGACTGAATGGGGTTCAAATTAAGGGATATATCACTAGGAAAATTCAAAGTTAACCACTGATGAACACAAGGTGTTACAAACATACAAATTTGAGCCACTTTGGGATTCACTGATACAATAGAGATCGCTATATCAAGAGGGGCAGACTAATTTGGAAAGTCAAGCATGACTTACAATTACAACCACTTCTTTGAAACCCGCATATATTATAGACATTTGTACTCTAATAAAAATGATAATTTATAGTCACATACAAGCCCAGAAATTTTTTTTTTTTTACAACAAATTTCATATTTCACCACCAGTCCACATTGTTATAGTCCTATTAACAGACAATTTCCCAATTTGAATAACCAAAAGAAGAAATTCCTTTGAACAAAGAGAATCTATATAGAGGGTAGAGGATCTACTTAAGGTGTTGTTTGGATCTTGCGGAGCCATATTGGGGAAAAATCAAAATTGTGAATCTCAAATTTTGAAGCCAAGATAGTAAATATTACACACACAAATAGGCATATCTGAACTCAAATTATCACTTAACAGGAAAAATAATTAGGGTTTCTACTTTCCCATGTCTATGATTTGGAAGTGGAATGACAATCTGTGAAAAGGTAGGGCATTATCAACTCAAGTAAGTAGGGTTGGTCGCTTTCTATATTTACATTTTTAAATTCTTAAAACTCTCTTGAGGAGAAACCTTTCATAGCTCTCTTCAATATCAATTGATACAAAACTCCTAGGTAAAGCTCACTCATGAAAACCAACTTGTAAGGGAAGAGTAAAATTTCAGTATGATGATGTGGTATCACCAACCAACAATAAGCATAAGAGTGAACCCCTCTTTAAATGAATAGCTACCTTGCCACATATAAATGGTAGGGTCAATGGAAATAAGTTATTGGATGGTGATACCGATGACGTGATATCACCGTTACACTTGTTTTTCTTGTAAGGGGAAGGTACCTAAGAGACTTATATTCACATAGCAAGCTCCCACATTACTAATATAGACAAGTTAGGATCATAACATACCACTACATCCTGAAACCGATGACCATGACAACCCACTCTATCGACATTGACCCAATAGTAGTCCTTTCTGGCAACTTCACTCACTTATCAGAATTCAACATAACCAACCTAAAAGTTGCCCCCTCCGCTGCTCGAATCACAAAGTCTTTACCCATCTTATCCCATACTAGCATATGTTGTATCTAATTCCATACTCAACATGGCGACTAACTAATAAAGAATGATACAAATCTCACTTGATCCATGTCATGCAAGTTACAGTCAATTTTTTTTTTTTTTTAACTGCTCTCCACTGCACTTTAACAAACAATTTTGTGAACCCTCAAAACTAATATTAGAAAATGCTTCTAGAGATTTCCCCCCTTTTTTTTTCTGTGCAACCAAACAGAAGATATGAGAAGCTAACACAGCATGAGTGTAGAATTCAACAATTGTAAGCGATAAAACTGAGAGTAGAGAACACAATTCAGTAGTACAAGTAATAAAACTTGAATTGAATTGAAGATGAACTCAGAAAGCCCTAATTTTGGACAACATACCTGAGAGTATTCATTCATCAATAGGAAGTAGAGAGAGAAAGAGAAGGGTTTATGGAGGGGAGGAGGGTCGTGGTGGTCTGTCCGTCCGTGGTTTGGTGTCGTGTGGTTTGGTTTGATTCTTCGGTGATTCCGTCTCACAAATTATTAGTCGACACCTGTTATTTAGTTGGACATCCTGAGATTGGCCCCTTTTTATTTTATTTTATTTTATTTTTTTCAGTTACCAAGATTTTTTTGATTACTACTATCCAAAAAATAAAAAGATTTTTTTGATTACTATTTTTTTTAAATAGAGAAAATTAGTGATAAATTCAATAAGGTACTAAGTTTAGTGGATATTTTTTTTATTAGTGAGACTTTTGTAAAATAATTTAGTGAGAAATTCTTTTGTTATTTTGAGAGAACATTTTGTTTCTAGACCTTGTTTGGGGTATTTTAAAAAATTCAAAAAGTCACTATCTTATTTAAGTCATATCATCATATCACTTTTCTATCACATCACTTCAAACCCAACCCATATCCAACTCATATTCACAAAAAGTCAAAAAGTACACTTATTTAGATCATCCCAAACCATCCTTATTTTTTTATTTTTTTATTATCTATTCAAATTTATATCAATCTGTTCAATTTTTTTTTCTTTATCTATTGAAATATTGTTGGCTACATATTTTGTATAAGCCAATTACAATTCAACGCGTGGCAAAATAAGGGCAATACAGGAAGACTATTTAAGTTTTCGATCGTGATTGTACATGTGATAGTTAGTATTGGTTCTTACAAGATCTGCGTAGTACTGGATCAGCAAAGAGATGCAAGTGATGTGGCTTTAACGGTTACTCACATTTAAATTCAAAATCAGGAGGGAAGCCTAACTGCAAGTGATGGCATAGTGGAGCTAACTATAAGGCAACATGATCAGCGATCATGGAGGAACGATTCGACGTTTAGAAGTGCAGTTCGATGGTCATCCTTGAGAAGTATAAATAGCAGAGAAGGCCCCAGAAAAAAACCCCAGACTCAGATCCAAAAAACCAGTTTTATTCTACTTTATTTCCTTTCCAGTTTTACATTTCCTGTTCTTTACATTTCTGTACTTTAATTCCTGCACTGCACTTCGTTCATAAGAGTAGTTTCAAGTAGATTGTTGCTGTAAACTTCTACGAGGTTGAATTGGATCATTGTAAGTCTTTCATTTTAATGAAATACTTCAATTGTTCTTCATTTGATTGTTGTTTACTTAATTCTCCTAAATCAAGCCACCAATAAAAGTCCTCTTCATTGAGACTGAAAGAACTAAAACACAATCGTCTGATAATTGGTTGGCGATTAATTTTTTGTAAGGACTGATTGATCATTGCCGATCCTTGCCGGCATGTTTATAATTACAATAACAACCTTCGAAAGCCAAAAAGCCAACATATATTTTTGGCATGCCCGGTGGGGCACATTCTTTGGATAACTACTGCCTCTAAAGAGTCATCATCTAGTGCTTCCTCATCAAAGTCTTTTTCTTGACCTGTAGAGCCTTGTCCAACAACTAGTGAACTTCTAATGTCTTTCTTGACAGTAGTCTGGCTGGCAACGTGCATTTGCACATTGACCTCTTTCAATTCTTTCAAAGATAAATTCTGGAAGTCTAGTACAACAACATTGGCTGCACTTTCTCTAACTTCTGGGAATGGATTACTGTCGATTCCCATAGCCTTTTTTGCTTTAGCTGGGAATTTTAAACTTCCTTTCCGAATTTGTTCTTGGATCCTGTCTCGAAAAACAATACAGTTTTTAGTCGAGTGAGACCAAGAATTATGCCATTTACAATACACTTTTCCTTTAAGTTCATCTGGAGATAGAATTTTGACTCATTTTGATAACTTAAGGAAGTTGGCCGCAGGCAAATGATCAAAAATGTCATATGCCTTTGTTAAATCAAAAGAGTATTTCCTATGAGGGTCTTTCTTTTTAAACTGCTGGTTAATTGTTGTGTCTTTATAAATTAATGCTTCACAGATCATAGGTTTTTTCCCCACAATCTCTGCTGCATCAATCTCATAATTAGGATCTCTATAATATGTCTTGTATGATGCATTATTTCGATCTTGTTCTTCCTCTAGTAATGCTTCATACCTAGACACCTTATAAGTTAGTTCCATTAAGTCTCTAAACTTAATTGAGTCAAACTTCTTTTGAAGCCTAAACTCGAAGCCATTTTGAGCCAATCTCAAGAATTCTGGCTCTGGTAAGATGACCCTACATTTGTTTCGTGCTCTTTTAAATCTGGCAATAAATTGAGCAGCCTTTTCCTCAGGCCTTTGGCTCAACCTTGTCAAATCTACCATGGACACTTCTGGCTCCGTTTGGAAGAATTGAGCATGAAATGCCTCTTCCATTTGTTGCCAAGTCTGAATGGAGCCAGGCGTAAGGTTAATATACCATACGAAGGCTGCCCCTGTAAAAGAATTTGGGAACAATCTTAACTTCATGTAATCATTATTGGTAAATTCACCACATTGAGCAACAAACCTAGCAATATGCTCCACTGTTGACCGGTTTCCATTCCCATAAAAAATGGCAAAGTCTGGTATCCTGAATCCTCTTGGGTATTCATGTACGCTATCCACCAATTCTGGATATGGTTTCCTGTACACAGGAGTTTGAACCCCCCGTGCCATTGGTCCACACATCTCTCTAACAATATCAGCAATTTGGTTCCTAGGGACCATATTTTGTGCCTGTTGAACCATTACTAGGGGAATAAGCACAGGATTTGGTGGACAACCTTGTGCCTGGGGTCTTTTTAGTCCATAAGGTGGTATATTTGGGACTGGTTATCCCTGTGGTGCCGGCTACTGTTGGGGGTATGGGCGACCCCTTTGAGCTTGTCCTGCGAAAGGACCTGCGAAAGGTGCTGGAACAGGTGTTGTGTCTTTTCTAGTTGTAGGAAAACCTTCCAACCGCCCGGGTATAAATTCGAATAAAGGATTAGTGAACCCCCTCGTGCCAAGTATGGCTTCGAACATGGGATTTGGAACCATTCTTATGCCATTTTCTTATACTGGGCCAGATCCACCAATTTGCATGGCTTCACTGTTAAGTACTGAGGCATTTTGACCTGCTATAGGCCTCGAAATAGGTTCATACCAAGACTGAGGTGATGGTCTTTCATAGTTCTGATTACTAGTTTGATCATTAGAATGTCCATTAATTTGCATAGGCTATTTATCTCTAGCTAATCTTTGCTGAGGGACATTAGAAATTTCGTCCATGTGTCTTATGTTTGTTAGTTGATGGGTATGCACTTGTAAGCTCTGGGGTTCATAGTCCCAATGAATAACTCTCTGGGGATCAGAATAGAGGCCTATATGTTCTTGTGATGAGGTGAAGCACAGAACTTATCACTTAAAAAGTTTTTCAACCAAGATGGGCCAATGGTAGTAGGTTCGAAGGGATGAAAGCTGTAAGAAGGAAGGGAAGCTGGAAGTTGGTGGAAGAAAGGGAAGTAAAAAGCGAAGGTAGAAGGATAGAGTGAAGCGGTGGCTAGCCTCATGCCATGAGTAGTAGGGTTTGACTCAAAAAATTTAAGGCATTTAGATTGTAGCTCAGTAAAATAAGCAAAAAGCCAAAGCTGAAGTATCCAAAATGGACCCCCTTGATTGGCATCCAAGGGTTTCTCACAAAAAAGAGAACAAACTCTATATACGTGACCTAGAACGTATGGAGCTAAGCCCACAGTTTTCTATAAAACAAGAGCTTTGGCAAGAGGGGCGAATTCAGGCATGATTCTTTGAGAAAAGGTGCAGAAAAGGAATTTGCAAAGCCAATAAAGTATGAAAAAAAAGAATTCCCTATCAGTCACGGGACCCTCCCTTCTATTTTCAGCCTTGACAAAGTCACTATAGGATGAGTTAAGAGAGGGAAAGGAAAAAGGGATTGGTAGATCAGGATAATCTGGTCCAATGGGAGTTCCAATGGGGGACAATCCTAATAGATGACAGATATCAAGAACAGTAGGGGCCATCATCTCACATCTGAATTGAAAGAAATTAAAGGCAGAATTCCAAAAGCAAAGGGCAGTAGATATTAAGAAAGGGTCCTCTGAGATAGTGAACCTGGATAGTTGGAGGGCGTCGAAAAGGCAGAGCTCTTGAAGGTCCAGAGTCCTATCAAGGACAACCCAATCATACCATTCTTGCCACTCTGGTCTCACCGTGGGTCAGCAACGGTAGGGGCGGTTCATCCTTCAGTTTCCCCAGTTAAGACCACCTTCGTAAAGGAGAAAATAGTCTTCTAGATGTGGATATAAAGTTGGAAGCTCAGTAAGAATCTCCTTGAAGATGGGCCCAAGCACATAGTCTTGCTGCTCATGACGACAAGGAATGAAGATGCGTCCGTCAATGGCGCTTTTCTCACCAGCCTTGTGCTTCTCACATTCCGCGTCAATGATCCTTTTCAGGGTTACAGACGGGCTCGTACGCTCTATGACTGGTATTTTCAACGAAGAAGAAGCCATTGATAGAAAGCTTTTTCAGAGGATGAAGTTGGGAATGAGAGTAGAAAGAAGTGGAATGTCGGTAGAGATAAAGGGTTTGTGCGATAGACAAATAGGTGAATTCCGAGCACGAAATAAAAGGGTTTTAAAACTTTTGTGTTTGAAAATATACCTGGTCATGTGACACGGACGAAATTCACAAAAAGTACTAAAAATACGGATGCGAAAGGTTTTCCTCAATGTTGATAGTTTTGGAGGAAAACATATCTCAAATACTGATATTAGCTTTGAAATACAGCATTTGGCTTCGAAGCCAAATTTTGGCACCGAGATCCGATAACAAATAAATATCTATCGAAATTTTATTATTTGTTTAAATCTATCTGTCCTAATTTTATTATCTATTCAATTTTTTCCTTGTCGGTTTAACTCCATAAATAACTCTGATTATCTGTCCAAATTTTTGAACAGATGTGCCTTGGTTCATTTTTTTGAACAGATCTGCCTTGCCATTTCTCTGTTCATTTTTTAGGTTGTAGAGTGATGAGTTGCTGGTTATTGGACAAAATTTTGGATATACATCGGCATTTGATCTTTGACAACCTGTGAATTTGGTGATATATTTACACCAATGAAAAAACTAAACAAGAGATCCATATGTCCCAT